GACTCCACATCAAGTGAAATGCACGGAAGATATAAGAAGATATCAGAAGGCAATCAAGAAGATAGAATATTCGACAGCGGGCTTTAATAATATCACAAGCGACACACGTGGGTACATTCTAACTTTAGTCTCTAGCCAAGTTTGAGTCATGAGGGGGAGGGAGGATATGAATACATTAGACAAATCCGCTTCTATAGGAGTCACAACCTCGTAGGCCCACATCTTTACGGAATTATGAATCTTGCCTCCTCGCTAATTTTTTAAGTGAATGGATATTTCAAATATAATTTTACCAAATATATTTTAACTTCTCTATCAAGGTTTAGATGGTTTTATGTCCATATGTGGATTAGCTTACTGTGTGGTGGTGGTGGTGGCCAGGATCAGGCACACAATGATAGGAAAGAAGAACTCTCCAGAAACCAGATGATAGTGGACGAGCATATATTTTTTATGATAATTTAAAAACACTGGACAGTAAAGGTAAAATATCAGCAGGTGCAACCACGTGGAGATAAAATAATCCTACGGCAGAGTAGTTACAGCTGCGACATAGGTCGACCACTGATAAAACAAACAAGGAGCTGACAATTCTAATCCTCTCCTCTCTCACTCATTCATTCTCCGAGGAATATAGGTACATATCCAATCAACATAATGGCACTTTCTCGTGACCTATGTCCAATCACATCCTCCCATATTCATCTGAGACTATTTTGCAAAAACCTTTAGGCCTCAAGGGTCCTTTTTGGACAATCAGTAGAGAAAACAGTGAATAAATATCCACTGACCATATTGAGCTTTTTGGGTAGCTTCATCCTATCACATCTTTTGAGAACATTTTTAAGAGATTTGGATCTAGAGGTTGTCTCTTTTGTCTTCAATATTAGGAGAATTTACATAAGTAATGGATCTACAGACTGAACATCGAAGACTTTTCTTGCCCTACTTTCAAACTAACTAATTTTTCAGTTTCTGCATAATCTACGATCATATAATTCTTACATGGAATACAATTTCCAGAATGGCATGCAAAGGGTGATAAATTGAGAAATCGTTTTTTCTTCAGATTATGTTCCAATTTATCAAATCTAATCAAACTACTGTGTGAGAAATAAGTCTAAGTTCTATGCCTACTACCCTTCACTTTTTTTGTTAAGTGTCACTTTCATTGCATCCATCCACACACCTTTGTTGGGAAATTGTGTTAGGTAGTGTGAAGTCATTACTTAATTCATTAAACTCAAAGCGACAAAAATGATTGACTCACAAGGGTAGCTTCAGGGACGCGACAAAGTAGAATTTGGCTAGCTTGGTGTGCCTAGGCATGGACCTCTTCTCATGTGCTTTCTATAAGCATCAACAGTGATTTCCCAGATTAGTGCAAATTGATGAGAATTGATACGGAATAATAATTCTATTAGAAACCATATGACTATTATTAAGCCACTAATTATCTATTTATTGATTGAGTTCTCATGATCTAATTATTATGAAGATTAAAAAATGATTGATTTTGGAAACAGTCAAGGAGAGGACCACCTTGGAGATTAAGCGCATTTTTGTTTAATACATTGTTTCACAAGTTGGAGTTGCCTTAATAAAAATCAATGACTGTATAGCAGAAATCAACATATGGCGTGATTTTTCTCATTTGAAGTTCTCCGATATGCTTGAGCTTTAAAAATGATGTCAATCATACTTTTGCTGATGGGTGTATCATACTCAGTCTAATAATCACTGGAGTCTATGTGTTGTCAGTTTGTTGATAACAGTTAGAATTACAGTAATATGTGCGTTTCAAGGTTCCCTCGACGCCTCTGACGTTTCTTTGATTTGTCCATTCTAACAGATTCCAAGAGTTAAGACCTTATATTTTTAAAGACAAGAAAGAAGATATTCTGCATCAAGAAAAATACAAATGAAAATCTTGATAAAATACAGTTATATAGATTGATATCTTAGATAAGTGTGCAGATCATCTCCAATTTTGTGACAATCTCATGGGCCAAACTCAACTCAAGCAACATGACTTCAAACTTCAAAGAAATGCAAGGAAACACCTCTTTCCGTGTCATTGAGGGGATGCACGTACGTACGAATAAGTCAAGTCGGCTAGTTCCAACATGTGGTAGTGATATAGCTAACAAAGTGAATTGTATTTCCATATTTGATACAGGAAGAAATAGGCTCGTACGAGAATGAAAAATTATATATGTTCAAAGAGGAAAATTTAAAAAATCAGTGTCTCATATGATTCTTCGCTTGAAGTACGACCGAGAAAGGTACCAAGACGTACAAAACTCTTTTGAACCAGTGGTACAAAATTGCTTTACACAATGGTTCTGTGAACTGGCACATGTGTTTACGGGATAGACAAACACGACTGGTTAAGACCAATGGATGGTTGATAAGCGAAATATGCCCAACGATTCAAGAACGACATCTACAACGATATGTACGATATCTACCAGTAGTAAACAGTATTATAATGACTTGCTAACAAACCTACGGAGCTGTTTTCATTACAAACTCGAGAGTTCAACATTCATATACACTGGTAACGGCTTGCTAGAGATCCTAGAACTGTTCATTCCGCCAGGCAGACACACGTGTATATACCACGAAACTTGCTTACATGCGCTCTTTTCTTATGAACATTTAGATATGACAGAAAGATATTACTCTGGAAAAAAAGAGGACCGATGTTTCTTTACCTCTTTTCCTTGTACATGCCGGTTCCTTACTATTAGTACCACCTCTTTCAATTCAAATCAAACATAGGAGTCAGGCGATAAAAAGACTAACAATGAAAAAGAAGTCTACTTAAATGATTGGAAATAACATATATGAATCCGTTGTTTTCCTCGAAAAAAATCATATTCTATCTAATAAATATTAATTAAACTTGATGTCAGTTTTGTGTGTCGTAATGTTTTTAATTTTCTGTGAAAAATATTCTTTCAAACACCCCAAAAATTGGAGTAAAAGTAAAAAATGATGAAATGAAAGAGGGGAGCAGATTGTATTTTGATTGTAACTGGCTCACATGATATCGCTGTTATGAAGCATTTAAAGGTGTTATTCGAAACCTTCTGAGAAGCACTTGTGACGAAAAAGGGAAAGGTGTGGCACATTTCTGGTCACAAGACATACACTTGATTTCAATACGTGTATGTCTATTAACCAGAAATGAAATCACAAATGTGAAAATTGATAATTTTATTTCTAAATCCCGTCAATAACCCAATGCAACCTGAATTAGCTCGTTGTGGTTGTTGCTGCTATTGCTTGGATTTTTCTCGAAGAATTGGACATTATATGAAGGATTTAAGCAAAAGCATTTAAAAAGCAAGAGAAATTAGTCTTAAGTTTCAATTATATATATATTCGATGTCTTATTATAAGCGATGAAAGCTGTCGATCACAACGTTGAACACAGAAAGAAAAGTGAACACGAAAAGTCAAATGGCCTGCATCAACTCTTTTTCAGAATGACACAACAGATGCTGCAGGTATAATTGTGGCTGCGGAATGATTCTCTATGTGGTTTACAAAAACCCTTTGACTCATGAATAACAATCCAGAAGAGTTTAATTTACTTGGCAAACTAAATTGAATATGAACAAAGTCCAACAGAAATTTGAACTCAGTTTTATTACTAATATCTATTCGGGAAAATAGTTTAGGGCTATCAGTCGGGTGTGGGCAAATGATCAGATTGATGAGAGCTTCTTCTTGATTGTTGACATCTTCGAAGATCAAGCTCATGTGCACTATAAAAGAAAAAAACCTATGTGGCTGTTACTATAAAACCTTAAATACACTCACAAGACAAAGTAGATTCTTGAGCTTGGGTTTCCAGAAATCAAATGGAGTTGCACATTTACAAGGTTACACGTTTGTCTCGCATAAGAAATTCATCCAAAGCAATGCGAACGAAATCTGGGGATTGTATATCCTCCACCTAGCAAAGAATGAAGAGTTTAGTGACTGAAGGATATTAACCTGAAATCTGCAATCTCGATTCGTGAGGTTGTCTAATCGATATATGTTAGATATTTTTATACACATCTGTAGAATAGAACGTATAGGTATGAGAAAAAAAAAGTTTTTAGTCTAAAAAACATGGAAAAAAGGTCGGGGACTTGGACAACCGGGTGCATTTCAATGAGTAACTTAAGTTTTACAAGTGATTGCAAAGAGTATAGTATTTGAAGATACGAAGTATGCATACATAATATATATATTCTCAAATATACTATATATAATTTTTCATATATAATATACATGTTCTCACTTCGAACACTAATATTTACACGTGTCTGAATGATCACCTAGAAAAAGGATCACGACAAGTAGACTTGAGCAGTTTAAATATTGAGTTTGTTGCACTTGAGATATACTCAGCTGAATGTGCAGAAAAGAAAAGAAAAGAATATATTGTATTCAAATATATTTTCTGTAGAGATCTACGTTACGCGAAATGGGTGTTTTACTGATAGACTAAATGTCTCAAAGAGCTGGTTCAAAAGTGAAGGTTTAGCTTCAGTCTAAGTAGGAGTTGATGGAAGGAGCGCTAGCTAAATCGCAAGGTTTGAGTCGTTAACTTCGTACGGTAGTTGGTGAGGTTAATGCGAAATAGCAAATTAATGGAAAGGTGTAAATCTGTTTAGTGATATATAACCACTTCTCCTATAGATAGTCATAAAATAGGGGGTGGCAGCCGAAAGATAACGGTTAGGGAAGTTGGATTGTACAATATGGTCACATAGGCCCAAATGACTTACCTGACAGAGGGAGGGAGTAAGGTGAAGGACCCGCCAGTACAGAGGACAGGATCGGAGCTTATACCGTCCCTTGGGAGAAGAGTACCCCGAAACAGCGACCATGGTCCGTGCCGTGCCTCGGGACGGTCGAGCCAACCGGACAAAGTAAGAGAGTTACTGAGGGGGGAGGGTAGACCAAATTACATGCCGGCGGCGGTTATGGGAGGGAAGCGGCTTCTGCTGCTAATGCTGTTGGCGCTGCGAAATTGAGTATGGGTCTCGCTCGGATCAGATCGTCGGACGTATGTTTGTTGGAGCTCACGAGTGAGCAGAGCTGCAGCTAAGTTCTGGAGCTATGGCTCATGATTCTACCTCAGATCGGTAGCAGCCGATGCAGAGAGCTCAGGCCCACTGTATACTGTCCTAGAAAATCTACAGCCGAACCCACACCTGACGAGATGTCGCGAAATTGTGCTCTAGTCATGGAGGGGATGAGCTGCAAGCGCTCGCGAGCTTAGCAGGTGGGGTCATGCAGAGGTTGAGCATATGGTGATTGGAGAGCAGGAGGAGAAGTCGGGTGGTGCCGGAACAGCAGAAAGGAGTTTCTTAGACCAAGAGGAAAGAGCGAAGGAGTACAGTAGACAGTAGTGGGAGTGGGAGAAGCACCTGCGAGCCCTTCTTCACTGCGAGTCCAGAGAGAGTCCAGTAGGGTGCAGTTGCAGTGCGCTCGTCATCTTTTCGTTGCTACTTGTCGCACAGCTCCCTGACTGCCTCTCTCCGGAGACCTCGGCTGCCTCGGACTAGCGTGGTGTACTGTTTCCCCGTCCCCTCTAAGTTTGCAGACGTCGTACCGCCTGCCTGCCTCCTTTCCGCCCCAGGACCCGACCTGCTGTGCCTTGCCTGGCTCGGCCTGGTGTACACAAGTTTGTTCTGCTTGCAAGCCCAGTATCAGTATGACTCTCCGCTGCCGTTGTTTCCGCTAATTTTTCGTGGATCGGAGCTGCGTGATAGTACAGGATAACTTTTCGCTCTCCGCCCTCTTTCTACGACACTATCTTTTCGACTCTGAGGTGGTGGGGCATACAGTGATGTTGTAGCAGTCAAGTAGCTCCGATCGAGCTGGTTCTCATCTCATTCATATCCGGGTCGCCTGCCGAGAAGCTTGCAGTTTTGGCACCCGAGCAGCTGGCCCTGGGCAATTTTTTCTTGGTGGGGGACTGCCATAATGTGTGCTGTGTGCGTTGCAGCCTCCAAGAGATTCCCTTGTCGAGTCTAGCATGAGGGCCGTTTCCCTCCTGCCGTCGTTCCCTGCCGCATTTCTGAGCCATTTGTTTTGAATCTGTTCTCCAGTGTGAGTTTATGTTTTTCTTTTGAAGGTTCGTTCGTGCCGCTCTTGTTCGTCGTCCGGGCCCAAAATGCAGTCCTCCAAGGGCCTGAACTCGTGGGACAAGTGCTTGGTTGCCGGCGATCATCCTGAGTCTCTTTTATACAAGGAAAATGGGCCTCGAATTATGAGATTCGAAATGGCCCCAACCCCGTTCCGTCCTGATCTGGCCCCAATGTCACCTCGCAGTCGAGCGCGCTGCGGGCATCATTGTATTATGATAGGAACGGCCGTCTTTCTTCTCCTAGTTCTGATTTGGAGGTATTTGCTCTCGTCGTTGCCTGCTGGCGAAGCTGGCTACAGGCAGTACGAGCAGAGGTTCATTGATGGAGTCTGCAATGAAAGTCTCAGCTCGTACCTGAGGGATCTGACCTCGCAGCCTCATGTGGCCGGAACGCCTGAGAACTTTGCTACAGCAGATTACATCAGGTTTGCATTTCAGCGTTATGGAATTCCAACTCACTACTCTGATTATGAAGTGCTCTTGTCCTATCCGGTGAACCGATCTCTCGTCCTGAGCCATCCAGACGGCTTGTTTCTGGAATTGGATCTCGACGAAGCGGTGGTGGACGAGGACCCATACACCAAAAATCCCAAGGTCATCCCACCGTTCCACGGCTACTCTCCGTCCGGGAACGTGACGGGCGAAGTCGTGTATGCGAATTATGGCACTTTGGACGATTTCGACCAGCTTCGCAAGATGGGCATCAAAATCAACGGGTCTATAATCCTCGCACGATCCGGAAAAATATACAGAGGTGATGTGGTGCACTACGCGGCGCAGCGGGGGGCCGTCGCTGTAATCACCTACTCGGATCCAGAAGAGTACGCCAACAACAGAACAGAGGGATACTACCCACAATCTCCGTGGCTGCCACCGTCGGGAGTGCAACGAGGCACCGTTTTCAGAGGTATCGGAGATCCTCTCACGCCCGGCTGGCCCAGCACTCCGGGAGCGCAGCACCTGGACCTGAAAGACGCCAGTCTCCCCACCATTCCGTCGTTGCCAATTTCAGCCCAGAACGCGAGGTCCATCCTGAAGGGGCTGGCCGGTCCGGCCGCGCCCCGCGACTGGCAAGGCGGCCTTGATTTGAGCGTTTACCGCGTCGGACGAGGACCGGCCAAACTGAATCTGACATTTGAGGTACCCCGATCCTTGCGAGCGCTCTGATGGCATGTGCACGACTTCCAGGGATCTGTCCAGATGATTTTCGTATGGGCCGTCGGGGATTTATCCCGGACGTCTGTGTTGGTGTTAAAGCTCGTGTGGGCCAACGGCGGTTGTATGTCATATTCTAGCATCTCAGGATTGCCGTACTGGCTTTCGAGTACTGCGCACCTGCGCTGCAGGACTTCTCTCGGGGCTGAATGCCGAGCTGTGAATCAGGCTGACTGGATGGTGTCCTGTCTCCTCGCAGGCCAAGCAAGGTGTATACCCCATTCGGAATGTGATAGGCATCATCGAAGGCTCGGAAGAACCGGACAGGTACCAGTGGGACATTAGCATTAGTGCGTAGTCTGCTTGTGCTTCGGTTCAGTGGGTTGTGTCGACTCGATTAGGCCGAGGAAGTGGCTCGTTCGTGGCGTCTGTCAGCGCCACCGTGCATGTTTATGCCGTCGAGAGAGTCCGAGAGTTTGTGTCTGTCACATGGGTACGCTCGTATTTGATCAGTGGCCCTGGCCCTCCCCTTCCAGATATGTCGTCGTGGGCAATCATCGCGACGCATGGGTTTACGGCGCCGTTGATCCGAGCAGCGGCACCGCTGCACTTCTCGAGGTAATCTCCGCCGCAACTCATGATCGGTTGTCATCATGATTTCCGAGAATGAACTCTCGGCGGTACCGTCGCCCATTTACACGCTTTCTCGTCAGTGCGAGGCAGATTTCCCTGTATCGTCACACGAGTACAAATCCTGTGTCCTTTCCTAACCAATAAAGAGCGCGCGTTCTGGCCAGATGGCGGAAGGATTGAGCGAACTGAAACGTCAAGGATGGAGGCCGCGAAGGACCATCGTACTCGCCAGCTGGGATGCCGAGGAGTATGGCATGGTATGCTTCATGTCACCGCACCATGTGATCGCTGAGCTCACTCGGTCGACTGAATTAATCACGAAATTTGCTATCCAACATAGATTCCCCTGCAGTCGCTGAGAATGATTGTCACTTGCAGGTAGGATCTACCGAATGGGTGGAGGAAAATCTGGGCTTGCTCGGAGCCTCTGCGGTTGCGTACATTAATGTCGACTGCGCTGCCGCAGGGCCAGGATTTCGGCCTAAATCCTCACCCCAGATGGACGATCTTCTCCGGGAAATCACTCGAATGGTTAGGACTCACTCTTGCAAGATTTTATGTCGCCCGTCATAGTTCCGTGAGGTTTCTGTTACCGGCTGCGGGGTCGATTTCCTTTAGGGAGGCAAGGCGCGCTGCCTTGTCTCGGTTCTGTCTCGTCGAAGCTGCCCAGTTTCCTCATTGTCGAGCGTGGTGAATGTTATGCGGTTATTGACCGAAATAAACAGCGCACTTGTTCAACCCAGGTTCAGGAAAAGTAAGATCGGTGGAATCTTAGTTCGACGCCGAGGAATTACGGATTTTACGTCCTATTAACGTCTGCGTGTTGTCATTGATGACGACAGGTCAAAGATCCAGACGGAAAGTTCGCCACCGTATACGACTCTTGGCGAGCCTCTTCTAACGGCGACACGGTGTGTGCCCGGCCATTTTAAAGCCCATATTTAGGAATCTGCTGTGTCAGACGATGGATGGATCGTTGTCCAGGGGGAATCTGGTTGAACAGTATGCGGAAAACTCCGGGTGGCAAGACAGATTAGGAATTTGTTGTGGACCCGGTGACATGTAGTCCAGAAGGAAGGTCAGACACGAAATTGGATGAAGTGAGGAACGCCGGAGCTGAACATATCGTAACGGATGAATTTTGCAGATCGGTAGGTTGGGCGGTGGAGGTTCGGATTACGAAGCTTTCCTTCATCATGCCGGGGTTCCTGCGATGGACTTGTCATTTGGCGACGGTAGGTTTTTCTTATCGGTCGAATATTTTTGTAGTATCAATACTGACTTCGGACTTTCTGAAACTCTTGGGCATCAATTGGGAGACGGAACAGGCTCCTGAATGCACTTTGTCGTGAAGGCGTTTTTCTTGATCTTGCTTCTTTATTCGATTCTAACGTTTGTTCGGTATGAGCAGCATATCCGATGTATCACTCGGTCTACGATGACTTCCACTGGATGGAGAAATTTGGGGATCCACTTTTCCACCGTCATGTAGCAAGTAAGAGACCGATCATCTCTTCCTCAATGTTTGGATGAATGATTGTGAATGAGCCATCCACTGCTTGCCGATGCAGAAGCGATTTCAGCCGAACTCGGCAACGGAGGCTGTCAGTGGCTTTCAGTAGAATTGCAAGGGGGATTGCGTTCTCCAGCCGAATGGCCCTGAACTTGACGTTTTTTCATCTGGTTTCTTTCAGTTACGTGTATCTGGGGGCTCGTCACCATGAGACTTGCTGATGACGCCGTCCTTCCTCTGGACTACGTAGGCTACGCTCGTGAGCTTCAGGTGATGTACTCATGCCTTCGATTGAAAAATCATCTACGCCATCTTGCAATCCGCTGATTAGGTCAAAAGTTCCTCTGAAATCCGTCAAGAGCTAACACCTCATATTATTTCGGATGCAGGGTTACGTGCAAACCGTCCAAAAGCAACTGCAGACGGCAAAAGCACCGTCCAACGTCACGCTTGCACCACTGCACAGTGCGATGGGAGGTGCGGTCAATGCGGCATACCAGATTGACAGAGAATCGAAGGTACTATCGATGTCTTGAAATATGGAATGTTTATGTGCCCAGTTCTGTTTCGATATTAAACCGTACTGTGCAAAAAATCGATGACGAGCGTATCGCTCATCTTCACAGGTGTTCATGGGTACTTACGGATCAGAAACACACGACCTCTTCTACTTTCTGCTGAGAAGAAGGGCAATCAACGACAGATTGATTCTCTCCGAGCGAGCCCTTTTGGATCCAGAGGGAGTCCCTGGACGTTCGTGGTACAAGCATTTGGTAAGTTCATCATCTCAGCTTTAGGCGTCGTTTGTAGTTCGGCTTCTTGGAATCAAAGCCCTTTCACGCCACAGCCTAGGGATTCTAAAGGAAGTGGTTCGAATTCCTTTGGCAGGTGTATAGTCCGACCGGAAGTGACAGCTATGACAGTATCAATCATTTTCCCAGCATTGCGGACGCGTTGGCGAAGGCCACTCTGACCGACACTGAAGACGATTGGAGAGCTGTCCAACGAGAGATATGGCGAGTTTCTCGAGCTATAACACGTATGCAGATGATTCTAGTGGGCAAATTGACTCAACCCTAAATCCACCTTATTTTTAAGTAGTCATAATCTTGGTCGGTAACGACACGCCCATTGTACTTTATACAGTGTTGTAGGTATAGTGAGAATTTTAGAAGCAAGCATACGGAAATCCGAATCAGCTTTTACATTCAATGAGTTTTTCTGTACAGCCCGAGAAGTGAACATACGAACTTGCCCTTGAATCTTGGGCACTTCAAGAGATGGTCAACTGTATACAAAAGGATACAAAATACAAAATTTCAGAGTTTGCAGTTTGAGAGCAAATTTTTTCCCGTCTGCGTTTTGCCAATATATATTGCTGTCGACGTGCCTTACGTCTTACCTATGGGTAAAAGATTCGCTTTGCTGTGCCAATCTTTACCTCCAAGTGAATTGGAGAAAATCACACATTTGTGCTCTGTCCGTGAGTGGAATAAAGTGTACCCTCTTTTAAAGTGAAGAAATTTCTCTGGACTCGGTGTTGGTTTGTGGTTTCTTGATCGGGCGGCCTTCAGCGGCGACAGAAGGCTAATGTTTAGAATATGGGTATTGATTTGGCCAGCGGCGCTCTTATTCTAGAACTTTTTTGGTGCTTAGTTCTTCACTAGCTCCAAACGGCGATTCTACTGTTACCTGCATCCTTCATTCAAACCACGAGAAGGTTTTGCAATTATCTGGTTGACAAGACGATTTTAATTGTTTACCTCAACCGAGTTGACAGATTTCATAACGTAGATGGGAAAGCAGGATATTCTTGCTGCGGACGGGGCGCAGAGGAAGATTTGCACGTGCCGAGGTGTATCCGTGCAGATAGAAGTCCAACGCGAATTGGATGTAGAACTGTACCCTTAGCGTCGTAGGCCGTTTGAAAGCATTCATCAGCATGTACTTTCCGGATGTGGAAATCGGTGTGCAGTTGCTTTTCCCCACAAACGCTGGAAGAATGTTTTGAACTGTCTACGGTGTTATTACCTCTTATCTGCAAAACGATCATTCAACCTGGCAATCGGGTCAGTTCTTGTTGCTCTGAAGTCTTGCTGTGATGGAGAGAGAGAGAGAGAGAGAGAGAGAGAGAGCGAGCGAGCGCAGGGAGTTTCGCAGATAGTCATTCTTTCATCCGAATTGTCATATAGTCTATTAGCCGGACTCCCGAACAACACCTGCAACTTGTAGACGGACCGGAGGATCTCGGCGTGGATTCTTTACACTCCGGGCCGAAATACCAGTTGCGACAACGTGACATTCTGCGCTAAACTCGACAATTCATACAAGAACAAGGAATACGGACACTTCGTACGAAGCGGATCGTTTTATTTCCCGAAGGCAGACTGAGGTGGCACGTGCTAGCGATGAAAATAACACGTGGCGGAACACAGTTCGCTGCCGAGATGACATGCCGAAGTGAGAGGCTGCATGGTCGACGCTCGACGGCCTGACATGAGAAACCTTCCGTCGCGTTGAGGATCAAGGACATTTGTTCTCTCGCCCCGCGCAATGTGAGATCGTACGGATGGAGGAACTCCACCTTTCGACAGGTGTCACGACGCTCTCGTTGGCGCCTTTCTACGGGTAAGCGCGGACAGTTTGAACTTTGAACACATGAGGAAGGCAGATGCGAGCGTCTGGAAGTACTCGCGGAGAATTTCAAGGACCCTTTCCTAGGACTAAAGTGCATCAGCCGGATCCACCTGAACGGTGAATTAGAAAGACTTCGGAGGCAAAGATCTGCTCTCATTTGTCAGGAGCATATGTACTTCTTGCTTTGTTCTTTCAGCTATTGACTCCTGCTTGTACCTTCACCATCCCTACAATCCCTGCTCCGGGAGTACACATGGTCGTGAAAGCTCAACAATGCTAATTCTCATCCTTGGTGCCTTTCTTGATTGGATGCTGGAACTCCGCATTTGTTTCTAATTCTTTTTACGGCATCTGTGTGACTTTCGATTTTCGAACATCATGAGGAGTCGTACGTTTTTTTTCTATGAAAGGTGCCGGAATGGTGCGAAGCTAACAATCTCAGGGTACTTCGGTCTTCAGCTTTAATTCCTGTTATTTTGGACTCAGAAGGGATCTCCTGGATTTCCTCACTCAGCAAAGGTAAGGCTGGGAACCTCTGCAAATGATAATACCTTAGAGGAGTTCACACATAACCTTGCTGATCTACAAGGAAAGTAAAATTCTAGTCGGTTCGTACGCCGAAGAATACATGAGGTGAGTGCATATTGTTGCCCTAAACCCGTGCAAATTAGGCGTTCTCAAACTAGTTCCCATATTGGCGAGAAAGTTGTTTTGCCCTTGATAATAAGCCCTCATACATAGCCTTCATTGATGGCGAGACGAATAAAGTTGTCTGTGCTCTAGTAAATGAAACTTCACTAGGAATAAATAGATGCGGCCCTCAGGATTTACAGTGTGAAGAAAGATGATTTAGAGACATTGTGTTTTGTGATTGGTTGCTTGGTAAAACAATTTGCAGGATTCTGCACGTTTCAAACTATGGAAGCCTCTATTTATTTATGTCGAATCTCAAGACCTCACACATGACGGTACATCCGTGAAGTTAGACTCCGTAGGTTAGAACTCGACCTGCAATTTCGTCTTTAGCTGCTTATCAAACTTTGCTCGTATACCTCACACTACTGTACAGAATCGCAAGAAGCCAGGATCTGGTACTGAGAAGCGTTCTGAGGTATCAAGGTGAGCAATGAAAGATGCAACCAACAAACATGCAAAACAATGTTGCACATGATATTTTAACCGACCTTTACAAATGTGCATGATTCTTGGAAAGATACTCAAAATGGAGGTCAGGTGTACAGTCAACGATTACCTGTAACTTCTCGTATTGTGAAACTGTACCCAACTTTAGAAATTGGTACATAAACGGTTGACGCGGTAGCGCACAACACGATACCTTTCAGAGGATATCAATGCCTCTTGCAATCGTGCCCCCTTTGCTACTGGCCTCACTGAGGTGGGGTTTCCAGATCCTTGACAGGAAAATATATAGGAAACTATTCTGTTGATCACTACCGACGTGCATTGATGCAAAAGAAAGCTTGTACAACTATTCAGAAAATGCGCTAGTCAGAGTAATTACAGCGACTGATGCGCTGGAAGCGGATAAAGGAATGAAGCTCCCACCACAGTTCATGAAGGCATTTGTCGATGTTTTCTCAATGTGCAGAATTGCATCATGTAAAAATAAGCATCATCTGATGCTTATTTTTACAGAAATAGTTAGCATATACGGTGATGCTTACATTTACACTATATTTTACATTGTGATGCTTCCTGATGTTACCCATTTCGTTCCATGCTATAGACGAAATTTCATAGAGTTTTTATCCTATACACTTTGTGAGATTTCCTTGTAGAAAAGATTTGTTAAGATCTTCTGAAATTGCTTACTAAGCGGTACATTAACCCAAGGCAATGGTACGAGCAAAAGTTTTGACACCAGTTTGAACACCTTTTGAAGTAGTAGGTAGAATAAATTCCTTATAGATATACGTGTCATGTGCATTATCTGCAGAACTGATGTTCATAGAAACTGGATTTCTTCGAATTACCGCCCATCATGCGACCATGCATGTTATATGTGGAGCACTTCCTCCACCTTTCTATCCTGATAGAGTCAGAAACGGTTGCATGTCTATGAAGACTAGAATCCTAGCAAGTACAAAGAAGGCAAGTAAACAATACTCCAGCCCAGAGCTCAATGATGTCTCCAGGTTGAAAACTACTCTAAACCATCCGGAGATTGATGTTTCGATGCTCCAAATGGTCTAAAGCATCGAAAGACAATAGATTAGTGTCAGCAATTTTACTCTACATTTGGTCAAAGAACTTTAGAACTTTAGAACCAAAAGAGCACCACTAGCTTTTATATCCGGATTTCCTCTCATGTTGCTCTTTGTACGTGTACACTCTGTACCTTGTCCTCACCCTGGTGCTCAGCAGAACCCCGATGGACGTGAAGGAAATCATGCATTCACAGGCATGACCATACAACTCAAGTTGAGTACAGTATTGGTCTTTAAACATGTAACATGATGGAAGTAATATGCGTAGAGCCAGGCAAGAAGATACGAACCCGTGACACATCACATAAGCATCATTCACTCAAAGGTGGCGTACGATGCGCGTCGCACAATTCCATTCTAACGTTACCTCGGTGAGACTATGGCTGGCAGGTTGGACGGGTCTTTGACTCTACCACCTCGTCCGTTCTTCTACGAGGATTAATTCTTACGAATTGATTTGGACTGTGGACCCGAGGATTGCGGTGAGTACCACCACTCTTTACCTTTAAGCAAGGATTGCATTCCTGGCAGACTTTGAGCGCACACACTTCTCTCATCTATTTCGTCTCCTAAGTTACTGAAAACAAGCTGCAGAAAGTAGTAACTGGAGCTCACCGGGCTAAACCGACTTTTGAGTACGATGGCTACCGTAGGATGAGGGGCATACTCTTCGTAAAACAGACAGTCAACCCACCTTTCACCGAAGGTATTCCATCGAGTAATGATCAGAGACCACACTACTATTTAGACCTCACGATTTTCACAATAGCGTACCTGCTTGCATGGTTTTTAAGATTCGTTAATTCTGCCTGCAGGAAGCAGACCAGGCGCGACATGTTCCGACATAACATCACAACTCAGTTCCCAGATCATGATTCAAGCACGATAATCGGTATGAAGCTGTGAAGTAGATGCGTGACTCTGTAAACGACACGAACTCCAGGAAGACATTATAGTTAAGTAAGACATCTGTGAGACCTATGTATACTCCGTACCTAATCGAATCGCTTCACAAAATACAGTACGGAGTTCTACAGGCGTAAGGCGCAAATATTATTTTCCCTGGCCAGAATTTGGCCTGAAATAGGTATGGATCTACCTCTTCCTTCTTCTGTCCCTAAGCTTGCAATCAAGTTTCATGTTTACCTGGGATGCCCTGGTTCGAGACGTCTGCCCTATGTATAAATTTTCCATGTTTCATCTAAACCCATTAGCTAATTACATATTTCCTTAGATGCTGCTTCGAGTCATGGGTTTGGTTTCACGTTATCATAAGATTCCTATAACATATCCGGAGCTTATATCTTAAATGGATAGCTTAGTTGCCAATTATTATTCAGCTGTTATTTGACTTTTTTTAATGTAACTTTCTTCGATGTTCGATAGGCAGAGATTTTAGTTTTACATCCATTTGTAAGTTTACGATAATTTTTATAGGATTGCACATTTCAGTGTATGTTGTGTTAACAAGATTTCGAAGTAAACATGAAATCGGAGTGAAACGTAATAGAGAGCTATACAGGAAATAAATATTCCATCTCAACAATTCTACTTCACACCAACACTTTAAGAATTTTGGCTAAAACCTCAATACATACCTGTCACATATACCTTTCACCGCTTCTCTTATACGGAAATAGAATACCTATTTTAATCAACCATAGTCATACTAACTACAGTTACAGAATACATTAAATAAATCCCAACATATGACTCTTCTTAGTATGAATACATCCATGAAATTCATTCAACTTTGTAGAAATGGAATCTAATAACAAGTATCTAATTTACATCGATATCATGAATGAAAAGACTTTATGATTTTATTGATGAAATCAACATTTTACTGTGTGAATAAAATTTTGAATCTTGAATTTTCATCCTTGAGTTCATGATGCCTTATAATTCTACAGACATGTAAATTATTTTTTTTATTTATTTTGAGAATGTGTACTTATTTTGGTAATCAAGCATTAACTAGTGTTATGAACATGTATGTGATCGAAATTTAAGAAAAAACACATTAAGTTATTCAACATGCATGTAATTTTTTTTAAAAAAATTTAAATACAAAATGCTAGATGCTAACATTATGTTTAATATAAGATTTAGTTTTTAAATTGATATTTAAAATTTTAAATTAAAATATAACACATGTGTAATGTATTTTAATGAAACTTATGCCAATTTAAAATTAACGTTAATTTTTCTTTCATAATTTAAAATAATAATAGTAGATTACATACACAAAAATTTATACATTTTTTAAGTATTTCAAATGCTTCATCATCTTGAAAGTATGTATGAGAGAACACAGATTCTATTTCATCAATTTTTGAAAATATCGATTGATTTGTGAACAAAAAAATAACTATAAAATATTATAATAATAAAAAAATGAAGTCGTTGAACAATATGAATTAAGAAATGAAAAATCCAAACGGAAAATTCAATTTATGAAGACACTGCCACATACTGTAAAATTAGCCGTAACTAAATGCCAAACAATAATTCGAATGAAAAATAATACACTTAGCTAAATATAATTCCATCAATGAAGAAATAAAATTTGGATGTAAATTTTTGCAGAGAAGTGAAGAGAAATGTTAATTCAAAAATCTAGGCAAATATTATGACATCTCTCTTTGTGATTAGTAAAGCAATACTATTTGTGATTGATGTATAATTCTTAAAAACATAATGAAGACAAACTTTTCATCTTGAAATAATTCTTACGTAATTAAAATATTTCATTATAAATGATATTTAATTTTTTTTCACATAAAATTTGTGTATCACAAGATGTGAGATTTAAAAACACACCATTTTTCAAATATTTATATTGTATGGCTCCAAATGAATTTAAATAATAAAAAGCTAAAATAAAGTAGCTCTTTAGCAATAGATGCATTCAACCAAGTAAATCGTACGTAGCATTCTTGAAAATGAAAGAAAAAAAATGAGAATATGCATAAAAAATTGTGAATAGGTAAAAGGTGAAAAAAACACTATTCATTTTGATGCTTGATTTTTTTTGTGGATTGAATTCAAGGAACAAAATAGTTATTAAATTTGATATCAAAAGACGTATACAACCGAACTTGAATTTGAAATAAACACATTCATACAATCTTTTTGATAGTTAAGATGATTTGAATATTTAATAATAATTTAATATCTTATTACCGCATATGTTTTATTCATGAGGTTGATGATGAATGTTTTTTGTACTCATTTATAAATTGATAAAAAGATATTGAGTGATAATATGCAAATTTTACAATGAATTTTCTAAATCTTACACAAAAGTGAATATTATATCAAAGCTTAAAACTGCAAATTTGGAAATTTAAAAGTATATAACTTGGCTCATAAAGTCACTACAAAAAAATTGAAGTAATGAATAACTTCATATTTAGATGATCCGGACAAGATTATAAAACTCAATGTAAGAATTTTTAAGTATTTGCTGGTTTGTATCTTACATATTTAAAAGATTTTGTTGTCTTGTTGAAATTTTACAACTATGTTAGGTAAAATTAAAATATAAAGATAAAAAATAGTTAAAAATTTAGTTTTGCAAGAAATGAAAAATGGTTCTTAATGATCAACTATTCACAAGAGAGATTAAGCAGTTATTAAAATATCCAGTTAAGATCTGATACATTTGTAAGATTTAAAATGTTAGTGATTAACTTATTTCTCTTTTAATTTAGGTAGTTCAATCATAGTAAGGGTCAATGTCATGTTGTTACCATAACTAAAAGTTAGCATAAACTCTCAATGATTCTTTCAGGATTTTATCAGTAAAGTTTTTTGGAATTCCGGTGGTGGACGTAGCCCACAATGGTGAACCACGTATTTATGTCTCCATAATTTTTTTCCTGCTCGTGTTGGACTATCGGTGTGTCTGCGTCTACCAGTATGTTCGTGGATTCTTGTATTTGTGTGATCCAACCCATAAATAGATATCACAAGAATACAACCAAATGAGAGAGGTATCGAGAGGGGAATGTGGGCGAATTAATGGATTGAGTGAGTTAGTTGCAGAAATCATGACAAGACAATCTTATTCGTTGGCCGGCTTGTGGTCATTGTGGAAGTGATTGACTTGACTCGCTATGACCTGTAAAGTTGGATATCAGTTGTAGTTTTTCAGCTGATCTCGGCGTGATAATACCAGCGGTTGTGTTCGTTGTGGAGCTCATCGACTTGTCTCGCTCTAAGATGTAAAGTTGGATGTTAGTTGTTGTTTTTTAAGCTGATTTCGGGGACGATAATACCAGCGGTTCAAAAGTTTTATTCTGCCTTCTACTTTTGAGTGAGATCATCAAAGGGATTCGGTGGTCATTCATTTCAAGATTATCCTCGCCTTGACTTGGCTGGAACTTCTTACGGTTGGTTTCTTGCGATCATTGTCTACTGACGTAGAGCTTCTGAGCTTTCGAGCTTTCTTATATATAGAACGGGAACGGATGGAAAAGAAGACAGTGTGTCGACCTCCACCCGACTTCAAAAATTTCTTCTCCAACTTATTTGCAAGTAGAGCATAATTGCTCAATTCACCAACGGACGGCTGCTGTCTTAAAAAACAAGTTGGAACTGTCAGGAGGAGCTTATCTCAAAACAATGTTTTATGCCCGTATATACGTTGTACCCAGTATGTTAACCAAATAAGGTTTGTACGAGGCTGATACTTTCACCGCAACTTTTCCAGACGGTATCCAACTTAGTGGCTGATCTCCAAAATAGAGACGAACGGCAGGCGGTTTTCAATGATTTCCAGGTGCCTTTTGTGGTCTCATTATCGTGTCTTAACAGCTGAAAGTTGATTCTAAGTGTATGCATTTATTGGAGGCTGGAGACTTGAATATGGAGACCTTTAATTCCTAGGACGTTCTTTTTTGGTCACTCTTGGCCTGATGTCATTTCTAGTTTGAAGAAACTTTTATGCTTTGGTCTTGGTCTCAAGGTATGTTGAATGTCTACTGGAAGACAACAGATGGGAAACGACCCTCTGGGAACCTAAAAGAAACGTACAATCCAACTTTTTGTTGAGTCTCTCTTTTTGTAAAGAATCCGCTGTATGATTTGAGGTGGAAAAGAGACAAAGCTCTGTTCTGCTAGCCATGCAGACTTTATTTTTTGACTCAGATGTGGTAAAATTTGTGGGGAGCTGCAATAGGCTCAATAGAGCTTTGTGAAGGTATCTTATTACCCAAGAAATGACAAGTCACTCCCAAGCTCAAAATGTTGAATGTGGGATAAATCAGGAGAAATACAACAGAGTGAAGATGGCAGATAGACGGGATAAGAAAGTGAAGCCAAAACTTGAGCAAGAAGTAGTCAAACTTGATAAAACCCTGAATGGGTTAATTGAAACACGAACGAAGGTATTTTCGTTTCTCCTTGTAGATCCTTTTACATTAGTTACGTCTTGGAAAGTCAAGTGCTGATATCACTTTAAAGAATGATCGGAAGCTTTTTTTTGATAATTTCGAAGTTGCTGTTAGTTTCACCTCTCAAAGTTGTTTCATCTTTATGACAAAAATGCTAGGAACTATCGGAACAAAGCTTGATCTCCCTGTTAATATCACGTGTTGCATCTTTATTTAAAATGTTCATGACTTTGGTTCAAACAGAGGCAAGCATTTGATTTGTGGATACTTTTGAGGGTGAATGGTATAGTTATTATTCATTATAAAGATAATATATGAATTTTAAAATATTATTGTTAAATATTTGATTTTTACACTATATTAACATATTATTTTTGACTGGATATAAAAAGTAATTGAAATGTAATATGATACAACGATTTATCAACATAATACCGCTGGTTTAGTATCTAAAATGATTGAAGTTTTATATCATGGAAAAATTAACATAAATAAGAAGTTTTGATATAATTTAATGGCAAGTTTTTATAAGAAATGTTTGTTATGCTATTTTTAGAATATACTGACTCAATAATTATAATGTTAATTAATTTTCGAAGAAATAATTCTAATGAAATATTTTAGAAGTTGATATATATTTTCTATCACATAAAATTATATCTATTCTCATGTTCATCATAATATTTATTATTGTAAAATATCAATGATAAAGTTATATGAAGAATCTGATCTAAACAATACATGTTTTAATTACAAACATATAATAAAAAATATTATTAAATAAAATTTCTTTTTAGTAAATATTATTTTCTTATTTATTATTAAGATAATCGTACATTCAAATTGAAAAACTATGTAAGATATCATATGTGCTAAGAAGTAATTCATGACTTGATAACTTTAAGTAGTGAAATAGTGCTTACACTCTATGAGACAGCTCTCTAACACCACCTCAGATTTTTGGTAAAACACTATTGTGTTCATATGGATGTAGTGTGTAGCTGTTAAGTTATATCACATAGTTTTGGTGTTAATCATCAATTTTGCTTTTTTTTAGAAGAAATACCTAAGAATTGGTATAAATACATGTATATATAGATATTCAATATATCAGTAGACAACATGCAAGCTATAGCAACAACAAACTAGCAAGTAGCATCACACAAGAAGTGATAAACATGCAAGCAACAATAACTACAATAGTCACAAAACGGCATGACCAAGAATGATAGATTTTAGCGATAAACAAACAGCATAATAATTTCTATATTGATAAAATTTTCATTGATAATGTTGTGATAGTAACATTAGAAAATTTAGCAGTAGAAGAGTGGCAAAAATGGTGACAACCTTTGTTGTGATTGAAAATAATCTATTAGCATATATATACATATACATACATGATAAAATCACATTATTTACCTAGTTTAATTACAAAATCAGCAACCTAGCTAGCAATGGACAATAGCAGAAAGTAAAGCATAATAATATATAATGAATGTACTAATTCTGATATACTAGCATAAATTCTTAAGTTGATTTGATCTGATTTGTATTTCAAGCTTGATGGATTGAATCATATTTCTTTTGATATTTAAGTTGCCACTTTGTCACACATAACATATAAGTGTTACTGTGCGCACGATAATTGACATGTACCAATTGTTGAGGTTAACTTTGGTTAAGGAGTAACCTCATGAGTATCTATTTATAGCAAAGACTGGTCGCATATGTTGGATATATTTACAACCTGATGCTTTTGTGATGCTGGTAGGGTTGGAGGCACAGCCTCAAGGGGCATGCCCCGGGGCGAGGGCACTAGAGCATGCCTCGTTCGGGTTCTTTCCATACAGGCATGCTTGGATGTACGAAGAAATGAATACGTAGTTTCTGGAACTTTTCAACAACTTTACTTCTAAAAATGTTTTATTCTCATAGATGTACATTTTCAAATATGTCAAATGTATGTAGTTCAATACGGGCATGCCTGGGAGCATGGGCATGCCTTTTGATCGTGAAATGGGGCATAGGCATGCCTCAAAATATTTTGCTGTGCCTCGAACCCTTGCTGTAGGCATTGTTGAGTTTCTCACTTGAGTAATAAATTCTCTCGAGTGTATTACCCGTGGAGGTAGCTTTTGAGGGTGAATCACGTTATACGTGTGTCTCTTGTGTTGTTGGCTTGCTCACTGTGATCTTGAGCTTTTCAGGTAGAATTGGTATCAGAGCAAGGTTCCGGTTTGGACTTTGTGTCAGAGCGTTTTTTCTAACAATGTTTTAAGGTTTTTTTAGTTTAAAGACTAAGTGTTTTCAGGTTTTGATTCGGGGTTGTGAGAGTTTTTGGTTTTGTTTTTTCTGTTTTCTAATGTCTGACGGTTTCAAAGTTTTTTAGACAAGGATCGCGTTTTAAAGTTTCTTCAAAAGGTTATGATAGTGAAATCATTACGTTCAATCTGAAGATATTGAATGAGTCACTGAATTTTTTTGGAAGATTTTGAAACTAACAGTTGTTTATTAACAGACATGTCTCAAAGTTGAGAACTTCAAGAAATTTTGAAACTGGATGTGCGTGTTTTTTCTTCTGCAGATTGTTCCATGGATGGAATAGTTTTTTGAAAGACTGAGAGATGTGCCCTTCCATTCCGATCGGGAACAAGGCCGTCAATTGAAACTTCATCTCTTCCTCCACTTCGACACGCACTCGGGTCCTAGCTAGGTGTTCTTGTGATTTTCATGTGTGATTCCGAACTGCCGAGGTCATCAATTTTGGACGCTGAAAGTTTTGCATACTGTACGTTTGTCTTGTACAGTAGAACCTGTCTAAGTTAATACTTCCGGGAGGGGCGATCATGTATTAATTTAGATAGTTTATTAATAAATAGTGGGTTCTCTGTTCGCGTCATTTGTGGTGGGACAGTTATTTGCACATTGACTACAATCACTGGTTCTAAATGAAAAGCTAAAGTCTTGGTGTAACAATGAGACATGTTTCGAGATTGAATTGTATTGAGCTCAGTAGCGTTGTAGTGCTGTCGGCAAACCGGTAAGCTGCACTCAAGAGGAAAAAAAAATCACGACGGCAATCACTTATACTTGAGAGTTGCTTCATTTGTAACAATTGCGTTTACCCTGAATAGCAGCCACAACCAGATGCACAACCCAATGGCTTCAAAGAGAAAGGGAAGACGAGAGAGAGCACTTCAATGTTCTGTTGTTCTTGGCCCAAGGTTGACAAGGCTGCAGCGAGAAAGAATCCGAATCGGGACAATCAGGTTAGAAGTTACATGACACATGTCCTTTGTATCCATCCACCTCAGGTGTGGTCTCCGCCCCTCGCAACCCACGTCATTTCTCTCCACCGTTTAATTCTTTGCAGTGGTTATTAATGTAAAAAAGATTTGGGACTGCATGTGGAATGTTAATTATTAACTTCTGGAGGTTTATTAATAAGTACACGGGCCTGACTTGGGACTGGACTGCATATATTAGTTATCACAGGTTACTAAGTTAGACAGTATTAATTTAAACTAGTTCTACTGTAGCGAGAAGCAAGGTGTCTTGTACAACGGCGCATCTTGAGATCAAGGCTGGTAGTTTAGAGAGCAAGAAAAAGCGAGAGAGTAGGTTGTTGTTTGGATTTTAGGGTTTCATCGAGAGGCTACTAGAGGCAACAAGCGGTGAGTGGGACCGAGCGGCGCGCGACTTTTTTCCTGAACGTGGTTAGTCGCAAACCCTAAATCTTCAAACGTGGTCAGCTAAGACGCAGTCGGTAGAGGCGAATGTGGTCAGAGTGAACGTGATTGTGATTGCAATCGTGACCATGCTGAACATGGTCGCAATTGCAGTTGTGATCTAGCCAAATATGACTACAATCTCAGTCGTGGTCGAGTTGAACGTGGTTGCAATTGTAGTTGGAGATCAAACATAGTCGGCGGGCCAATTGTGATCGGTAGGCAACGTAGTCACGTTCAGCCTGACCACGACTGCAATGGCAATCACATTCTACCCGACCTTAATTGCAACCACGACCACATTCACCTTTATCACGTTCACTCTTAGCGACTATGTCCGTGCCGATCATGTCCGCCATGACCATGTTTAGGAATTTAGGGTTTGCGACTGACCACGTTCGAGAAGGAAGTCGAGTGTAGTTTGACCTCACTCACTGCTCTAATACCAATTCTATTGGTAAACTTGAGATCACAGTGAGCAAGCTAACAACACGAGAGACATACGTACAATGTGGTTCACCCTCAAGGGCTACGTCCACGGAGAAATACACTCAAGAAAATTTACTACTTAGGTGAAAAACACAACAATGTCCGCAACACGGAAAGATTATGGTATATATATACCCAACATAGGCGACCAATCTCAGCTTTAAATAGCTACACATGCAATTACTTATTAATTAGAGTAAGAAGTCTTAGTAACCTCTCTAACCTATATTATTACTCCGCCCAAAGTTCTAGACGAAAACTTAACATAAGACCCATCTTTAAACAAGAGTTAACTATAACTAAGTTGTAGCCATAACATGATAGAATAATGATATACAAATGTAACTAAAAACCATATCTCTCGTGCTTTCTATGAACAACTTGCATAGTAACACAATGTCGCCTAAAATTGTCCAAAGGAATAACTCTGGTCAACGTATTAGGTGGATTGAGTTTATCGTTGATATAGACAATTGTTTTCTCAGATATTAATTGTCTAATAAAGTGATACTTGATGTTGATGTGCTTCACTCTGCTATCCATGTCTTGGTTTGCAACCGGATGTAAAGCACTGTGGCTATCACAATGAAGATTGATCACGCCATGTGTTAATCCCATCTCCATGATAAGCCTATCCAACCAAAGGACTTCCTTTGCCATTTTTGCTACTGCTGCCACATACTCAGCTTCCGTTATTGATTGAACTAAGCACTTCTGCAAGGTAGACCTCCAACTAATGCTTCCACCGCCAAGTTTAAACACATGTTGAGTTGTAGATCTACTTTTGTCTAAATCTTATACGTAGTCAGAACCAACTTAGCCAAACAAGGACTTGACATGTCTAATAATCCATCAAACGATAAGCCATAATCCACAGTGTTCTTTATATATATATACTAAGAATCCATTTCACTGCTTCCTAGAAAATTTTATCATGTATTCTTGTATACATTAAAAATAGACGTCGAGCTTGAATTTCAATTTTGAGGATATAGGGTCAATGACGACTCAAAGAACGTCAGTTCTTTGAGTTGAGTTTGTTAGCGTTGGGAGTAGAGCGACTGTCTGTAAACGTCAACCTGGAGTCTCTTTGGAGTGGGTTCGGCTTGACTTATGTATGTGACGGTTTTAGTGCCAATGGGGTTATCAAGATTGACGTGTTTTCCAGTGAGGAAAAACATGTTCTTTTCACTCAAAAAATTCGACAGAGGTTCTAAGTAGCAAAATTCTTTAGGATTTGTTTTACACGTTACATCGTTTTGGAAGTTTTAATTATTTTCTCGTCATGTTTCGGTGTCGAATGCTGTTGTTGCTGGTTGTGGCGGCCGTGTAGACAGTTGATTTGAGGAGTGGAAAGCGAGTTGATGCAGTTTGTCTTGGACAAATTGGAGCTTGCACGAAACTCAAATATTCTCGTAATGGCTTGTGCACTAGAGAAGTCAACGATGAGAATACCTAATCGGGAATTGATTGTCGTATTGCGATGAGGGGAGAAATCATGGGCATAGTACTGTTGTGGTAGGAACCATCACTATCTTTCTTGAAGGCATGTGTTGGATCAGTGAAGTAGTTTAAAATGCAAGACAATTTATAGCGTAGTTCATTCTTGTGTAGCAAGCCACTTCAGTTGTACTAGCAGCGTTGACAGGGGGGAGCGCGTTGCTTACGAGGATTCTTTACCATGAATTCCGAATATGATTTTTACTTCACAATTTGTTCATCGGCGATTCAGGTCTTTGGAGTCTTGTTTAGCTTCGATCTACTAGAACTTTCTTGCTTTAAAACAAAGTTCAAAAGATAACCTACGAGAGTTATGGTAGCCTCCGGTAAGTTGAAGCTGTAGATAGGGGCGTAGAGATTTGTGCAACTGAACGAAGCATCTCAAACTGCTGAGGCCTTTCTGCTGAGACCACCACTAACTTTGCTGATGTTAGCTGTTGTGCGAGTGCTGTTCTATCCACAACGAGGTGAAATCATATGATAACTCGGAACACCTCGCATCTGGATTTGTGAGGATTAGGCATGAGAAGCCCAGAGTTATATTCCGTCGGTGAATAGAATCGGACCGAGCTCAACAGCCACCACCAAATCGTATCGAATGAATATTTTGAGAAACGATGCCTTGTAATTCTAATCATGAAATGTAGCTCTATGTCGAGAGGCTACGCTGACCTAGGGCAAGTTGAATGTAGTAGCATTATCGTTCCCTGAATCTGTCAAGGACCAAGGTCATCTTCCATCAACCCAAGCTTACGTGGGTTTCTTTTTGAAGTCTCGGAGACCTGCTTTAAGTTATTCACCTCGAGAAGTGTGTCCGATTGACTCGTTGAATCCTATTTCTCACTGTATCATCTGAGGTCGGAGTGTACCAGCTGCAGAGTGTGCGGAGTGTACTCTTTGTGAACAAAATAGAGCATGAGTAGGATACACAGAGGACTAGCATGAGTACATGTACAGAGTGAAGTTTTTTCTGGTATGAAGTGAAGCTACGCTGAAGTGGAGTGAGCTGAACAGGTATGATCGATTATGTCTTGCCAGAGATTACAACGTTGACTACCGCCCGCCAGTTGTGGTACATTTGAGTGTGTACGCTCTTGTGTCCTATGTGTGTGTATGTGTGTGAGTAACATGTCAACGATGTAGAATGTATGGCGATATGCATTCGCACAACATTCCTTGGATTTGACATATATTTGCTCACCTTCCCCATTGTCAGAGCAATATCAGGACTAGTGCACACCATTAAATATACGAGGCTGCATACAGCTTGTTCATAGGAAAGACATGATATTTTTATTTTTTTCACAACATATGTAGGACATTGAGCTAAGGAGAGTTTAAAATGTGATGACAAAAAATCCATACACCCTTCAAATCGGCCATGTTAAAATTGTCCAGTATATGATGAACATACTTGCCTTGACTCAACCATAGCTTTTTCTGTTCAAAATCCTTATAAATATCCATGCGTAATATCCTCTTTGACTCCCTCATATCCTTCATCTTAAATGTAGACATCAGCTGACTCTTGCATTCATCGACATCAGATTGGTATTTTTGCCAAGATGAACATTTTGTCAACGTATAGTAATAAAATGATAAGATTG